TATACCGGGCTGTAATTAGTAGGACCGTCCTCTTCCGGCTTGATTCCATTTTGTTGTAACATGTGCTTATTGTGCGTTGTGTCACATAGTCTTTATCATCAGAACACGGTGTCATTCCTTATTGGCGTGGTGGCAGCGCATTACCCATGCCTAGAAGACTCTAATGAACATGTAGTCAACCAACATCGTGACATCTGTACTTTGAAGTGTAGGCTGTAACGTCAACAACAACCGCGTTTACACAGGGGCTCGTAACGTTAGGGCCTACAGGATTCACATAATCAAATAAGAATTTTCATTCATTCCACGTCATTCCAGCTGTTTTTTCTTGTGAACTGTGATCCAATTCGTCCATTATTTTATGTATTCAACACGATCGTGAATTGTGTCTGTATTTTTGTGTGTTCATTTCATAATCCTGAGCATCTCAATACCATTCAGTGTGATATAGCGACATGGCTGCCCCGAGAGCCCCCAAACAATGGTAATTAACAAAACATGAGACAATAACATCGTATGAAGGTTGGCGACAGCACCTTGTGTATATTCTTTCACTGGTCAAGAATTTTGTTCCTTTCCTAGAGGCAACATGGCAAAAGAATACCGCTACAAACCCCCATAGGGGTTTCACTAATGATAACGACCCCATCCCGGCAGACCAGCGATTGACCGCCGCTCAGAAAAATGCCCACCTATACCTAATGTTAGGGCAGATTGCCATTTTTTTGCCCCGTCATCTCAAGAAACTCAATAGTAAAATGCTCACTTTCCATAAATGATATCTGGCAAAAAATCAGACAACACTACGGCTTCCAGTCCACCGGTGCTCACTTTCTAGATTTGTCGAGCATATCTTTACAGCCAGACGAAAGACCTGAGGATCTGTTCCAACGGCTTACAGCATTTTTTGAGGACAATTTACTTACTGCCAACTGTGGCGTTACACATCACGGTGAGGTTGAGGTAGACGAGGATCTTACTCCTACTCTAGAGAACACCATTCTTGTCACATGGCTCCAACTCGTTCATCCAGGCCTACCCATTCTTGTGAAGCAGAAATATGGTTCTGAGCTTCGTAATAAGTCACTCGCCTCCTTAAAGCCTGAAAATTATCAGGTCCTCAATTCTCTCCTCGATGAGCTCCGTTGTATAGAGGATACCAAGGCTATGCGTGTCAGCAACACATTCTCAAAGGGGTACAGTTTCAAGGGTAAGAACAGATCACGGCAGAGACCCGCATTTCATGCATCTGATGCAAAACAGCCAACCGAGCCTTTACCACACATGATCTCATAAATTGTCGCTTCCTTCCTGAACGTGACAGGAAGTCCATAAGTCGCTCGCTTCTTGTGACCGAGGGTGATGCCGAATCCTGTCACGAGGAAGAAAATGAAGTCATAGACTCTGATTTCGACAGCATCGCTCAGTCAGTGAGCGTTGAAGGGCCTGTCGCCCACCGTGTGAGCATCGTTCAATCCCCGGTTCTCCATACATTTTTCAATGAACACCCTGTAAAGCTGACATTGGACACCGGCGCTACATCTAACATGGTCCGGGCATCTGCTGCCCGTATGTTTGGTTTTCCAATTACCCCAGCGTCCCAGGTCGCTCGTCATGCAGACGGTGTTACTTCCATTGATGTTGTAGGAGAAGTGCACTGCTCCATCACTCGAGAAAAACTTAACTTTGAGCTCGATGCTCTAGTTGTGTGGCAGTTGGATGTCGATATTCTGGCAGGAAACCCGTTTATGTCCCGAAATGACATTGGCGTTCGCCCAGCGAAGCGGCAGATCGTGATAAATGGTACTGAGGTTATCAATTACGGCGGTTCACCTAGTCGATCTTCACATTCCAGCGTGCGACGTACCCAGGCTTTCCTACTACGCAATCCCAAACGCACTGTGGTTTTACCTGGTGAATACCTTCAGCTCTCTACACCATGTGATTTGGAGCCCGACGCAATTTGGGCCCTTCAGCCTAGATTGGACAGTCCTTCTAATGTGAATTCCTCGTGCGAGGCCTGGCCTCCACCACAAGACATTCTCTCCGTGGATCATACAGTGTGTATCATCAATTCCACTGACTCGCCTATTGTGCTGAAAAGTGGTGAACAGCTTTGCCAAATTAGACACGTTACCAGTCCTCCTATAAAGTCTGTATCGTACGACCCCTACCTTCCACTAGTGTACGTGATACGCCTTCTACCAATGCAAAGCCTTTTTCACGTGATGTCGTCGTTGACCCCGACTCCTGTTTAGACTCAACCACCCGCGATAGATTCAAGTCACTCTACACCGAGTTTGATGATGTTTTCAATTCCTCCATTTCCAATTATAACGGCGCGAGTGGACCTATCGAAGCTGTTGTGAATATGGGTCCAACTCTCCCTCCTCAGCGTAAAGGACGACTTCCCCAATACAACAGGGGCACCATGGAGGAGTTACAGGCAAAGTTTGATGATTTGGAGTCAATGGGTGTCTTCGCTAAACCTGAGCAGGTCAATGTCCAGGATATATATATTTACATGTATACATTTGTTGTGTAGGGTAAATCCGCTGTGTTTACATTTCCTCGACAAGTGCCTTGTTTATCAGAGTCTACTGTACACTGCTACCTTGGGCATTGGAGCTGACATAAAACATTTTTCTCCCTACATCATCCAAGCCTCGAGTACTACTCAGGTTCTGACGGACAGCAGACCATGTGTCCAGGCTTATGAAAAGCTGCAGCGGGGCGAGTTCTCTGCAAGTTCGAGGGTGACTTCCTTCCTGTCTATCGTCAGTCGTTATGCTATACACGTTCGCCATATCGCAGGAATCGCCAATCTCCCATCCGACTTTGCCAGCAGGAACCCCATCGAATGTCTCGACTCTTCATGTCAGGTTTGCAAGTTTATAGCGGAAATGGAAGATTCTGTCGTCCGCGATGTATCTGTGAATGATGTTCTTGAACTGACAATCCACATGCCGTTTACCAGCCGCACCGCATGGCTCGCAACACAACATGAGTATCCAGACTTACGACGCGTTCACTCTCCACTCAGCCAAGGTACTCGTCCTTCTAAGAAGGCCACCAAGATCCCTGATGTCAAGCGCTACCTCAGGGACGTTGTTATAGCTTCCGACGGCTTGTTTGTCGTTAGAGACTCTCAACCGTTCCAACCTACACGCGAACGTATTGCTGTTCCACGCACGGCCCTTGATGGGTTATTGACAGCCTTGTAAATCCGATTCAGCCACCCGTCTAAATATCAGACTAAGCGCCTTTTCAATAGGTACTTCTTTGCCCTGGACGTCGACAAGGCCAATACATCTGTGTCTTCTGCCTGCCATTTCTGTCAGTCTGTAAAGTCTTTTCCATAGCACTTTCAGCCTCAGTCTTCCGTTGAGGCACCCACCTCAATCGGAGTGACATTTGCTGCGGACATGATGCGTCGTTACCGTCAATACATTTTAGTTTTGAGAGAGACGGTTTCATCATACACATTAGCCTCATTGGTCCCAAGTGAGAAGCATGAGGATTTTCGAAATGATTATATCCGCGGAGCTACGCTCATTATGCGACGATGGCATTACCATTCGTGTTGATCCAGCTCCTGCCTTCTGTGCCCTCCAGAAAGACAAAATTCTTCTCTCCCATGGCATTCACATTGAGATTGGGAGAGTGAAGAACACCAATAAGAACCCAGTCGCGGAGCGTGCAATAGAGGAAGTTTGGTTGGGGATTCTTCACCTTTCCCCAGAGGGAGGCACTGTCTCGGCAGTCACTTTAGCCCTCGCCACTGCTCAGATGAATTCATGGATTCGGCGTGATGGTCTCTCTTCTAGCGAACTCTGGACTCAAAGAGACCAGCTTACTGGCAAGCAGTTACCTATCATCAATCGGCAGATCATTCACAGACAGAGTTTGTCTCGCGAACAGAACCACGTACCTAGTGCCAAAACCAAAGACGGTGGTACCATAAAAATATGCCATAGTAGTATTTCCGTCGGCGACTTAGTCTTTCTCATGTGTGATTAGAACAAAACCAAAGTACGCGAAACATATCTTGTCGTTCACATTGTCAATGATCATACGTGCCAGCTACGGAAGTTTACCAGTTCGCAGTACCGCAGTAAGGTGTACACCGTACCCATGTCGCAGTGTTACCCAGTACTACCAACACCTCTTGTGCAGTCGCCTCAGGGACCCATCAGAGGTCAAGTATCAGATGAAACTTTAGACTCTGATGATGACCAGTGTGGCTTAATTCCCCCAGGCCCTGCTCTGACATTTGGTCACCGGTCGTGTCCTCCTCAAATGCCCCCTACAGTTACTTCACATCAGCCGCTACACCTGCAACCGGTCTTGCCAGTACCTCTTGTGTTGACTCAGCCTCCCGCGCCTGCACAGCCTCCTGTACCTCAAGCTATCATCTCCGTTACCGATACGTCTGATCCGATGACTTCTGTTCCGCAAAGTGTGCGAGAGTATCCACTTCGTCGATCAACCCGCTCTTGTAGTACTCCTCATTGGCAAAACCAGGATTGGGACCTCAGCTGATGAAACCGTTGTGTGAACTGTGACTTTTTTCATTACTACAAATTGTATTATCATTTACTGACCCACTTTGTGGTTATTAGTACATGTATAGACATGTATTTTGCAAAGGACAGGTTAATGGACAGAGACACTGCACGTACCCTAGTTATCGTTTTCTTAATGTATTGAGTGTTCACCTTCTTCGTTTTCATGAATACTTGTGCCATTAATATAGGATTAGTTATTATCTCAAAAGGACATATTAGAGATAAAGGCAATCACGCCAGTACGTTATTTTCTTTCTCTTATTCAAGCTGCCTCGTCACTGACTGCTAAGCGGCCCCATGCTGGGCGCTTCCTCCTCCGGCTTGATTCCATTTTGTTGTAACATGTGATTATTGTGCGTTGTGTTACATGAAGTCTTTACCATCAGAACACGGTGTCATTCCTTATTGGCGCAGTTGGAAAAGTGTTTGAAAGAGTAATTTTCAAGTACTTGCATGATTATTTTATTGAAAACTCACTTTTCTTTAAGCACCAGGCAAAGCCTGGTCATTCTATTGTATATCAACTCATTGAAATTTACCTTAACATCTGTATGTAACTAGAGGAAAAAAACATGACTTAATTGTATGTATGGTATTCTGTGATATTTCTAAGGCTTTTGATCAGGTTTGGCATAAGGGTTAGATGATTAAGTTCAATTCCTATGACATTTTATGCGAATTTTAACAATGGTTGGACAATTACAAATTTCTTTTATACAGTAAATCTTGTTGAAAGTCCAGTTTGCAACTGCGGCCATTAATGTGAAAATGCCCTTCACATTTTTTGTGAGTACCTACTTTTTTACAACAAAAGACGCGTCCTGCTCCAAGATTTGAATGCCTTACATGTTGATTTCAATTTATAACTGCTTTTGTTCTGTAATGCTCAACTTTCAGAAAACCTCCACAAAAACAATTTTAGACATGTGCATCATTACATCAAATCCAGCGACAGGTTTTAAATATTACAATTATTTTTATGTAACCCGGGTATATACCGGTATATGATATAGATATATATGGTGTGTGTGTATATATATTACAACGAGTGCTGTCAACTGTCTGTATACACGTGTGTTGTCCCGTCTCGTAAACAGTGTATGTGACGTCATCAGTTCGGAATGTATGTACCTGTGTTGTTATGTTCTGTTTCAACATTCTGACTGAATTGTACTTACAACGTAGACCTTGGACCTGCCCCTTGTACGAATAAAGCACCCTATATTCCCGCCACTATATTTCGGCTACTGGGTAAATACTTACTGCCCAGTGGTCATTCTTACAATCCAACTCGTAAATGAAGGATATCTGCTCCAGATCGGCTGGTTGTATAGAGGCGTAAAGACACATTGCTGCCAGCATTTATTAACAAACTATCCTAAGAACATCATACATCATATCGTATTGCAGTATCAATGTAATAACTAACGTGTGATTGTTATATTTAGTTATTTGAATTAATATATATATAGCGGTCTGTGTTCAGAGGTCCGGTACCTTGGTCGGTGCTGAAGTTGTGTAGTACTTACTGTATTGTCCTGTATTGTAGGTTTCTCGGAGACAGTAAAAGAAAAATGATTGAATACACAACTTGTTCATGTTTTTGGTATTTATACTGAGCAACCGGTGACATTTATTAATCTGTGTACTGTTTTTGTATGTGTTTATGAAATTACATTTCATTATTTTGGCTGATTTCTTTTTTTGACATTTTTACAATTACTCTACCAGACTGCATCTTATAAAATTGTACAATTTATTCAAATGTGGACCCATTACACACTTTACATGATGTCTTTTGGTATGAAAGGGATAATGATGATAGGATGTTATGTTTATCTAACTCTATAGTTAAACACATTATTTATAGATGGAGCATCTCTACATTCTCTAATACTTTGAATGTCATCCATCCTGATGGAGATTTTGTGTCCAGTCATGTGGTTTCCACCACTCAGAAAACTGCAAAACTTTCTTTCTCTGTTCATCGAAACTTTCCTTCTGATTTTTCCTCCACAACCTTGGTTCCACATCCAGCATCCCTCCAATGATCTCCTGGAATTATATGGAGTATATTAGCAACACAACTAGAACTGAGGCTGCCTATAATCTAAACAATTTAAACAGTCCACCGTTTGATATTAAAGATATTCTCTATCAATCCCAATGTATCAACAAACTTGGCCCTAAAAACTCTAAGTGATGTGTTATTGTCTCAGCCAATAAGAGGCCATGACAGCCATCTTGAACCTCAACAATTGAAAGTTGATCATTTAATGTGCAATATATCCCCTATGTATAACTCCTACGAAGTAAAATTAATAAATAAATATTCAACATTTGATATAGCACCCTATCTAGCTAACATAAGCCACTCTAAAGCACTTTACAGTAAAAAATATATACAATTAATAAAATTAGCATATACATTAATCAATACAATTTTGAGGAATTCGCAGGAGCTGCCTTATACTAGTCCTATGCCATCTGGCTAATATCTCCCTATGTGTATATGCCTGCATGTGTGATGGAGATATGTAAGTATACATTTTTCTCTGGACAGGGCTTGAAATGATGAAGTACAGGAGACCTTAAGGGGCCTGTATTCCTCACATGGATAATTGAGCAATCATGGCAAAATATCTCATTTTAAGGAGTATTGCAGATAAGATCCAAAGGATTTGGCCCATCACTGGAGCCCTTATTATATAAGGGAGTAGTTGGATCCAAGACTCAATTCTAATGTCATGGTCGTGTTTGTATCTTAATGTTCAGCAATTGTGGTTATGGAGTGGGTATCTTCACCTTTTCAAAGTTATAACACAGGGATTAAATCTCCAGGGTTGGTTCAGACTCCAAATCCATTTAGGTAACAAAAGTATGTTCATCTCTTGAAGAATAATTGTTTATAGTGTGAGATTTCAGTGGTTTAAAGTTATGACCAAGAGACTAAGTCTACTAGAGTGGGGCCAGATCCTGGCACATAGTGGTAGCATATGTGTATCCATGCCATTATAATGAGCAACTCAATATTTGATTATAGGGAGGGTTCATCTCAACTATTTCTAAATTTTGAATCAGGAACTATATCACTTGGGGTGTGGCATACCCCAGGGTCAATTCATTAATATCATGATTTATTTCATGTCTTTTTACAAAGCAATTGTATATATAGTGATTGGTTTGGGACCTCATCCACTTCATATTGATGACCAAGTCGTCAGGGGTGGGGCCATACCCTGGAAAATCCTGGTAGCATATGTGTATCGATCTCTTCATGCTCAGCAATTGTGCAATTGTTTATATAATTATAGGGGATCTCAACTGTTTCTAAGCTATTAACTCTTTTTTTTTTGCTTCCTACCAGAAATGGCTAATTTCCATTTAATGTTCTAAAGGAAAAGGGTTTAAAGCGATATGACAAATTACCCTTTTAAAAGAATTCTTCATCTGCTGAAAGTATTTCATTTTGTCACCCATTAATTGATTTCACTCTGTTAACTTTGAATAAGCAAAGTCAATGACAACATTTTGATTTTATTCCACTGAAAATTTAAAACAAGAGGCCCAATGGGCATGCATCGCTCATCTGGTATTAAGGTAATAGGATTGTGTCACCATTTCTCAGTAGAATTTCTTCAAATTTTATAGTCATATGGCTTTGAAGTAAAGAACATTTTCTGTCACAAAAAAAAATATAAGTTGTCAGAATTTTAAGGATTTTAAAAGGAAATTTATGTAAAAAAGAGTGATTTAAAAAAAAAAATGAAACACAATTTTTTGCAAAATAATGTCAGTAAAAATGATACTGACATAGATTAGTATTGCATTAATGTATAACAATTTCATAAATGCTGAACTTGTGAATAAGTAATTATCTATAAACGATTAAAAATTGTCATTTTATAATAAAACCATATACACATAGTAATTGCATGTAAGAGTTATCGTTCTTGAACAACTTCACACTAGTGAAATAGATAGCCGGTTCCCTTAAGTACAGAAAAATGGACACATGTGACTCATTGATAAAAAACAACTGAATTAATGCCTGGATTGCTTTGAAATACTTTAATATTGAAAGAACACACTGTTCTAGCTCTGTCAATAATAAACATACAATATTCATCAGTTTAATATTAAACATTATAATACGCAGAAATTGTGATACTGTGTCTCCCTACATTGGATTTTCAACTAGGGATGTACTTCCTATTTCTGTTTATCAATACACTCTTATGACCTTAATCTCTCACTTGTAACTCTAAAGTGGACTAAATTTTATGACTGAGTCATTTGTAACCTTAAAGTGGACCAACATCTATGACTGAGTCATTCAAAAGAACATGTTCAAAGATTTAAACACATTTGACCCAGCATGCAACTTAAGCTTGCCAAATATCACCATCATTAGATATTTTGTGTATTGAGATAAAGGTTTATACACATTTCGCCATATGTGACCTTGAAATTAAAGTGGGTCAAAATCATCCACATGAACAAACTTGATAGCTCATCATCTGAGCATGCTACTAGCAAAATATCACCTCCTGTTGTTTTTGATTATTCAGAAGTTGTTTGAAAGTTTTCATCACATTTGACCCCTGTGACTTTGAATATTAATCAAGGTAATTAATTTGAACAAACTTGGTAGCCATTTGTCCAAGCATGCTACTGGCCAAATACATAATCCTGGGGCTTTTGGTTATTCAGGTGAAGTTGTTAAAAAAGGTTTTAAATATATTTGACCCCATGTGACCTTGAATATAAGTCAAGGTCATTCATTTGAACAAACTTGGTAGCACTTAATCCCAGCATGTTACTGGCCAATTATCATTATCCTGGGCCTCTTGGTTCTTGAGAAGAATTTGTTTAAATTAAAAAGTTCATATATATATATATATATATACTTATAATGTACTTCATAATTAACACATGTATATTACTAACAAGAGGACCATTTCGATTATTAGCCCATGGCTAAACATGTATTTATCCACAATAAAGAATGTCTATTATTATTATTATAAAGTTGATGCCGGATGGACCGAAGACGCACCACGGCGTAAGCGTATTTGGTCCTACGGGCTTGTTGAGCAAAGGAAATCCAGTGTTAGAAGATTCCCGAAAAATAGGCCAGCCCCTTATCCTTCACAAAAATAGGTCAGCCCCTTATCCTTCACAAAAATAGGTCAGCCCCTTATCCTTCAAAAAAAAAGGTCAGCCCCTTATCATTCACAAAAATAGGTCAGCCCCTTATCCTTCACAAAAATAGGTCAGCTCCTTATCTTTCACAAAATGAGGTCAGTCCCATATCTTTCACAAAATGAGGTCAGTCCCTTATCCTTCACAAAAAGAGGTCAGTCCCTTATCCTTCACAAATGATTCCGTCACCTAGGAATAATGTCTACAAAATTCGGTTTAATCATTTTCATTATTTAACTCACCTTTTGATGAGGTGAGCCAAATATTTGATTGACAGAAGACAAATGCCATGTCATGGCATGAGCTCACTAAGCTAGGGTGCTAAATATATACCAACTGCAATGGCCTCTCAATTTTGTTTGTTAGTGTGTTTACCATTCTCTCAACAGCAAGGGTCATATGATAAGGAGTGGACTCGAAAACTACTTACCTTACCAAAATACCTTGGAAAAACTTGCTCATCTTCAATAACATGGGCAAACCCGCCCTGTAGACCAAAGTCCACACTAAAGAATGGAAAGCCCTTTGGTACCTGTAACCAAAACAACAATTTTTTTCAAATCTTTAAGCAATTTTTTTTACCAAATTCGTTAAGACTTTGTTTTAGAAATGTTTTTCTATAACTAGACCTACGGGGAATGTTATAATTCAGATGATTAAAGATTAGGTTGAGTTCTAGAAGTAATGGTCTAATCTTTGTAAATAGGTTTCCGTTTGTAGATGGCATTATCAAAACTTACAGCTCTCCTTATGCTTTTCTGGCTCAGATCAACAACCTTCTTGTTCTGTGTCCATTCTGTCTCCGAATCCTGGATAGCTTTCTGAATAAGAATCAAAACAATGTACTTCACATAAACTAATACATAAAGGTCATTTCACAACAAAAACAAGAGGCCTAATGGTATTTATGATTAAAAGTCATTCAAAAGAACCTGTTAAAAGATTTTAAAACATTTGATCCCTGTGACCTTGAAAGTCGAACAAGGTCTTTACGTTGAACAAACTTTATAGCCCTTTATCTCAGCATGCAACTTGCAAAATATCACCATCCTAGACCTTTTATTTATTGTCCTTATATAATGTCCTTATTTGGAAATAAAAGGAGCATAACTCCACAAAAAATGCACATTAACTTCTGAAATGTGAACTCGTTCAAGCTATATTGGTATGCAATTTGTGTACCAAGTTTCATCAGACGACGGGCGTATAATAACCAGAGATGGTGTCAAAGTCATCCAAAATTTGTTTGTTTATTGGGGTTAAGCGACCCTTTAACTCATGTATAGGTCATATTGAGACGGTGTCTGCTTGCGACAGGTAGACTTATGGTGACTTTATAGTGCTGTCTCACTGAAGTATCATGTCATTGGTGTGCGGCATGATATTTTATATGGTTTAAAAATATGTTTTTTTTATAAACCATATTGGGTCACATTATCCTTAGCAAGGAGTGAGAAGAATGCCTTATTTTAAAGTATTAGGTTTTGACCCGACCTAGATTTGATCCTGTGACCATGGATTCTAGCACCAGTCTACCAGCATGAAGGGAGCGCCCTAACTACTGCAGAGAAGTCATACCATATATCATTACACTAGTCTTTTTTTTTATAAACCATTGCAGTTAAGTCTGACCTAAATGATATTTAATCAATATGTTTTTCTATAAATATGATATTGCCATCAGTAAATGATATATGGGTAGATATAAAACATAAGAAAGAAAATATTGATCAAAACTTTTTAAAAATTAAAAAAAAAAAAGGAAATTTTTTAATTGTGCCTTTGCTACATCAATATTATACCCCACAGGAACATCCATGACAAATATCAGCATCCTAGTACACATATTTAATGAATGAAAAGCTTTTAAATAACTTGCAGGTAAAACTTGAACGTTGATGTGCTTCAAAAAAGGCAAGTACAAAATAGGTCAAAATATTTCAAAATTGAAAGTAATTTTACATTTTCACTTCATTACATCAATATTATACCCCACAGGAACCTCCATGCCAATTATCAGCATCCTAGTACACATATTCAATGAACGACAAGCTTCTAAATAACTTGCAGGTAAAACTTTAACATTTTCACGCTGACACCGACGCTCGCCAGGGGTATCGCTATAGCTCTCTGTTCTTCAACAGGCGAGCTAAAATTGTGAGATTTTGAGGACTTTCCATAATTTCATGTCAAATTCATGAGACTTTAAATCTGTGAGATTTTGTCTCCCCACATTCTATTTTTAGTATCAGTAACCTTGACCTTAGAAAATGTTTAAACTCCTATTGCATGTCCGCATATAACAGTATACATGTGTGTATAACCATGCAATTTCATAATTTTTAGTTGAGTGGTAATTTATGAATATAAGAAGGAAGTTTTTTGACTTAAAAGTAATCTTTAAAGAGCTTTTGCACCTTTCCAACATCAACAAAAACAAGAGGCCCAATGGGCCTGAATCACTCACCTGCTATTAATCTTACATTTTTTTATTTTAAGTGGACTAAAATACAGCTACAGGCAAAATACCAAAGTGTCTGATTCCAAAGAATCTATTAAAAGATTTAAACATGTAACACATGTGACCTTGAAAGTCAAACAAGGACATTAAGTTGAACAGACTTTATAGCCTTTCATACCAGCATGCTTCTGTCCAAATATCATTACCCTAGACCTTTAAATTATTCAGAAGTTGTTTTAAGATTTCAACATATTTGACCCCTGTGACCTTGAATATAAGTGAAGGTCGTTCATTTGAACAATTTTGGTAGCCCTTCATCTATAGCATGCTACTGGCCAAATATCAATATCCTGGGCCTTTTGGTTATTAAGAAGTCGATTGAAGATTTTGAACATTTTTGATCCCTGTGACCTTTAATAAATGTCAAGGTCCATTCATTTGAACAAACTTGGTAGCCCTTCATCTCAGCATTCAATGTCACTAAGAAGAAGTTGTTTATAGTAAAAAGTATACACTGGACGGACGATGGACTACAGATGGACGAAGGACGCCGCACCGTGGCATTAGCTCACTTTCCCTTCGGTTAAATTGACTCAGAGTTAATGGTGATGCAAAAGGAGTTGTATCAGATCACGGAATTCACATGTAAGCTATTCTTTAGAAGTGGACATTCTTTGAAAATGGTAAACCATGAAAAGTTTCAGGTTATACGGTAAAAAAACCTATATACCCATACCTTGAAATAGATAGGTGCAAGGTCACCAGTTTCCCGTTGCATTGGCACACACTCTAGGTACATGTGAGGGGAATGCTTCAGGCCCATACTTGTCTCCATGAACACCACATCCTGGTCCAGGTCCAAAAACAGCTTGGTCAAAGTCTTCCTGAATAACTACAGCAACAGTAAAAGTGACATTTACTTTTGTAAAGTTCACAAACAATAAAAGGTGACTCTGATTAAGGTCACAAAAACGTAAAGGCGACTCCTATTATGGTCACAAAGACTTTCATTAACAGGGAACTTTCATTTTCAAATACTTGGGGATGACAATTTAGGGGGACGACAGGATTAACAGGGGTTAGTATAGATGGTCCAAGCATTCCTAGTATGTTCATGGCAATGTGTAGGGTTGGCATTATTCCGTCTTTGCGTATTGCCGAGTTATCTTCTTTTGGGAGCAGGGATTGATTGTTACGTCACTTGTTTGTGAGAGTAACGTCATCAATTTTTGAGAAAACGACGTAATTTTCTCACACAAACCAATGACGTAACAATCAATACCTGCTCCCAAGGGAAGATAACTCTGCAATACGCAAAGACGGAATAGTGGAGGGTGGTTAACTAGGAACTAAGTGTACCTGTACTTCATTCCACACATCCTCATCCATGGCTGTACTGGAGGCCACATGCTGCATGGGCACGACCAAACAGTGACCCTCAGTCAGCGAACAGTGGTTGGGCATACACAAATACACCTATAGTATAACACAAACAATATACAGTGATGTTAGCAGAACAACATTCTTATTAATGATATAATCACTTTCCATTAAAATTCAAAGGAATCTGCAAATATTCTCTATCCTTTTAGCTGTATGGTCACAAGAATTAGCCGTACCAGCAAAGTCAAAACCAACACTAGGCTATTATATCAAGAACATCACTGACAACATAGGGCACAACCTACAATGTACTGTACATCACTTACAGTTGTGGGATCGCACAACGTTACACTATGTGTGAACGATGTGTGAACGATAAAAAGTTGGACGATCATTGCTTTGCGCACATTTGTGCGCACCATGGCATGGATGAACATTGTGCGATTAACAATTGTGGTTGGTGTAAGTTGAGGAATGCCTTAACAATATATACGGTTTCGTGTTCAAACATATAAACTTGATATTTATGTATGTGTCTATATTCTACCTACATCTGTGCTTATCTTATGTCTATACTTTCTTAAATTTGGAAATTTCATTTTCAGTATTTTTTAAACAACCTTTATCGACACATGTGAAATTACAACACAGTCCCGTATACAGGTAAACATAGCCACTTTGTACATGTACCTAGACCGTAGTTTTCCCCCTCCCGGGGCACTTACGTATTTCGTCGGGTAGAGCCAGGGGTGTGAAAACACAGGTGAAGGGGAGCTACATGTATAGGTAAACCGAATGCAAATAACAAATACTAAACGGCCAGTTGTGTTTTCATTACGATCATACGGTATCGCATATCAGCTCTGTGTCAGGTACAGGCCAGGTAAAACTCTGGTCACTCATCAAATTATTATTTATAAAAAGTACCTGTTCTGTTACCTTGGAGCCAAACCCATTCTTGACAGTTTAACGATCACTGTAATGCTGTGTTACACGCATTGTAATTCTGAACATTATCTTCATTATTGTGATGAGACATTACGGTAATACATACACTTTTAATTATTGCATACAAGCTTTCCGTATTTTTTTCATTCCGTAATATTGATCTTCAAATTGTACCCAATCGCACAGTTGTGCGGAGAGAAGCGCACAACGGCGCAAACAATTGTTAAATCGTACAGTTGTGCGTACCATGTGTGGAGGATATGCGGATGGTGCGCGAACGATGTATGCACAGTGTGCGCACGCTATTTTTTGTGCGTTGTGCAGTCACAAAACTGTACAACATAGAGCACAAACTACAATATATCCTGTACATCACTTACAACATAGGGCACAAACTACAATATCCTGTACATCACTTACAACAAGGGGCACAAACTACAATATCCTGTACATCACTTACAACATAGGACATTGACTACAATGTACTGTACATCACTTACAACATAGGACACAAACTACAATATACTGTACATCACTTACAACAAGGGGCATAAACTACAATATCGTGTACATCACTTACAACAAGGGGCATAAACTACACTATCCTGTACATCACTTACAACAAGGGGCACAAACTACAATATCCTGTACATCACGTACAACAAGGGGCACAAACTACAATATCCTGTACATCGCTTACAACAAGGGGCACAAACTACAATATCCTGTACATCGCTTACAACAAGGGGCACAAACTACAATATCCTGTACATCGCTTACAACAAGGGGCACAAACTACAATATCCTGTACATCGCTTACAACAAGGGGCACAAACTACAATATCCTGTACATCACGTACAACAAGGGGCACAAACTACAATATCCTGTACATCGCTTACAACAAGGGGCACAAACTACAATATCCTGTACATCACTTACAACAAGGGGCATAAACTACAATATCGTGTACATCACTTACAACAAGGGGCATAAACTACAATATCCTGTACATCACTTACAACAAAGGACATAAACTACAATATCCTGTACATCACTTACAACATGGGACACAAACTACAATATCCTGTACATCACTTACAACAAAGGACATAAACTACAATATCCTGTACATCACTTACAACAAAGGACATAAACTACAATATCCTGTACATCACTTACAACATAGCACATTGACTACAATGTACTGTACATCACTTACAACATAGGACACAAACTTCAATATACTGTACATCACTTACAACATGGGGCACAAACTACAATGTCCTGTACATCACTTACAACATGGGGCACAAACTACAATGTCCTGTACATCACTTACAACATGGGGCACAAACTACAATATCCTGTACATCACTTACAACAAGGGGCATAAACTACAATAATTGTCCATATTGTGATAGATTGAACCCTGCTTAACCACAGTTCTGGTTAATATTGAGTAACGGATATTCTTTAAATTATTTATAGATATGCCACATGTTAGCAATGATTGAGTTTCTTTCTTGTAAACACGGGCAAGCTCCAAGTAAACAGGCCCGGAATTTGTATGATATATCCTTTCAGTAAAGATGCACAACATGCTGAGATAACAGACACATGTGTATTGTCATGATATTACTGTGTTTACAATTTGATTCTTAGACTCCTGATTTATTGCTTAATTGATTTGTTACCCATACATGTCCAAAAGTAAACAGGTCTGACCAGGTGGTTGGTCCAACTAATTAATCCGAAAGTGCAGTTTCAATCCATACTCCACTTTCTGATACATTAAAATGGACTTCCTTCAATACGCAAGAAAACATGTACTGTTTTGAGGCTAACATACTTGCCTCAGATTTGCGATATGGACAATTGCTAGTGCTAATTGAGCTTGTAAAGATTATTAATTTAATATGGAAGACATATGTGACAGTATTCTTTGTCCGATTAGCAACTATATTGTAATAGGAAGTCGTTTTCCCGTATCAACGACTTCTCTGTTTGTCATGATTTTTGCCAATATCGACTTGGATTGTTCACACCATACTCAACCGCAACTTCCTGTAATTTGAACAGGATTGACAATATTTATTTTATTTGACTGCAGATTTACCGTACTTGGATACACCACAAGACATATCACTCAACAAGATTATTTGTAGAAAGCGTGTTTATGTTTGAATTGAGCTACATTACCTTTGTCCCGATCGCTATTATCAGGTGTTTAGGAACATTGCCAAAACAGAACTGACATTTTTCCATAACTGAAGCCATTTTTCTGTGCTCTGAAAAAACAAAAATCCGAAAAAAAGCTCACATCAACATTACTGATTTAAAACATTTGAACAACAATCGTTACAGTACTACAGTGGTGGAATAATATATACCTGTCCAATACGTATACAATGTAGCACTCACTTGACTTAAATAATAAACAAACCTATTTACAGTCCTTGTGATGAGTTTGTTTACATGGTATTAATATCACACCAGTATCTTTTAAAAGTTAACCAAGGCAGATGTATTAAAATGGTTTAAATTAAGCTACAGATCAGATATCACCATTCTGGGCCTTTTGTTTATTAAGAAGAATTTATTTTAAAGATATTTTTAAACATCTGACTCCTGTGACCTTGAAAGTGTGTAAAGGTCGTTCATTTGGAAAAACATGTTGCCCTTCATCCCAACAAGCTACTGGTCTAATATATCAACATCCTGGGAATCTGGTTATTGAGAAGAATTGTTTAAAGCTTTCAACATATATGATCCTTGTGACTTTAAAAGTAGGTCAAGTTCTTCTTTAGAACAAATCTGTTAGCCCTTCATCTGAAAGACACTGGTCAATAATTATCACCCTGGGCATTTTGGTTATGAAGAACTTATTTTAAAGATATTTTTTAAATGATTGACCTGTGACCTTGAAAGTTTGTAAAGGTCTTTTATGATCATTTGAACAAACTTTGCTGTTCATCAGCATAACATGGTACTGGCCAATTATCATCACCCTAGGCCTTTTGGTATTCAGAAGAAGTTGTTTAAAGTATTTAACATATATGACCCCTGTGACCTTTAATATGGGTGAAGGTTATGCATTTGAACAAACTTGGAAGCCCTTCATCCCTGCATGTTTCTGGCAAATTTTAATCAACCTTGCCAGTTTGATTATTCAGGGGAAGTTGTTTAAAGCATTTAACATATTTGACCCCTGTGATCTTGAAATACAGTGCAGGTCATTCATTTGAACAGACCTGGAAGCCCTTCATCAGAGTATTTTACTGGCCAAATATCATCATCCTGAGCCCATCAGTTATTGAGAAGAAAAAAGTTGATGTCAGACGGAGGGACGACGGACGCCATGCCATGACATAAGCTCACTTGGACCTTTGGGCCAGGTGAGCTACAAATGGCAAAACTGTACCTCCCATGGCTAAACATCTCTCTTTTTCTTCGGTACGTGAGTCTGATTGCTTTTTCCCTGCTCTGGATATAAACATGTCATCCAGCTGGTAATCATCATCTGTCTTCTCAACAGCCTACAGTTTACAAAGAGAACAATATACAGGAAAAAACATCACAGCCTAACGGTACCTTACAAAGATATGAAAAACAGGACCAGATACTACAACCTAAAGTAACAAATACAAGAAAAAAAGGAACAGACATCACAGCCTATAGGTAACAAAGACATGAAAAACAGGAAAAGTAACACAGCCTATAGGTAACAGAGAAATGAAAAACAGAAAAAGTAGCACAGCCTATAGGTAACAAAGAAATGAAAAACAGGAAAAGTAACCCGTACAGCTTATAGGTAACAAAGAAATTAAAAACAGGAAAAGTATCACAGCCTACAGGTACCAAAGAAATGAAAAACACGAAAAGTAACACAGCCTAAAAGTAACAAAGAAATGAAAAACAGGAAAAGTAACACAGCCTATAGGTAACTATAGGTAACAAAGGAAAGGAAAAACAGGAAAATTATCACAGCCTATAGGTAACAAAGAAATGAAAAACAGGAAAAGTAACACGTACAGCCTATAGGTAACAAAGAAATGAAAAACAGGAAAAGCATCACAGCCTATAGGTAACAAAGAAATGAAAAAAACAGGAAAAGTAACACAGCCTATAGGTGACAAAGAAATGAAAAACAGGAAAAGTAACACGTACAGCCTATAGGTGACAAAGAAATGAAAAAAAACAGGAAAAGTAACCCAGCCTATAGGTAACAAAGAAATGAAAAACAGGAAAAGAAACACAGCCTATAGGTAACAAAGAAATGTAAAAAACAGGAAAAGTAACACAGACTATAGGTAACAAAGACATGAAAAACAGGAGAAGTAACACAGCCTATAGGTAACAAAGACATGAAAACCAGGAAAAGTAACACAGCCTATAGGTAACAAAGACATGAAAAACAGGAAAGGTAACACAGCCTATAGGTAACAAAGTTTTGGTTTGTTTGTGTTTTACGTCCTTTTAACAGCTATGGTCATTTAAGGACGTGCCAGGTTTTGGTGGTGGAGGAAAGCCGGAGTTCCCGGAGAAAATCCACCGACCGACGGCCAGTACCTGGCGACTGCCCCACGTAGGTCTCAAACCCGCAACCAAGCAGTGGAGGGCTAGTGGTAGCAGAAAGGTAGCAAAGAAATGAAAAACAGGAACATACACCACAGCTTAAAGTAAGAAAGACAAGAACAAGAGGCCCAGAAGGCCCTTATCATTCACCTGGATATCTAAGTAATCATGGCAAAATGTTCTCCAAATAAGATCCAAGGGAATGGGTCAGACCCCAAGGCCAATCCTTGTAGCATATCTGTATTAGATTTTTCATGCCCAGAAATTTTATGTATTGTTAATTATGGGGAAGGGATCTCAACGGTTTACAAACTGTGACTAAGAAACTAGGTCCCTAGGCATGTGGCCAGACCCAAGGGTCAATTCTATTATCATGACTACATTCGTCTCTTTATGCCCAGCATTTGTATAATTAGTTTTGGGGTGGGGATCTCAACCACTTCAAAGTTATGACCCAGGGGTTAAGTCTGCAAAAGTGGGGCAGACCCCAGGGTCAATTCTTTTATCATGACTGCATTCATCTCTTTATGCCCAGCAACTGTATATTTAGTTTTGGGGTAGGGATCTGAACTGTTTCCGAGGTATGACCAAGTGGTTAAGTTTCCGAGGGTGTGGCAGACCCAGGGCCATCCTGCAAGTACATGTGCATGTTCATCTCTTTTAACTCAGCAATTGTATATATGGTTATAGGGTGGGGATCTGATTGTTTCCAAGCTGTGACTCAGAAACTAGGTCCCTAGGGGTTCGATCAGACCCCAGGATCAATTCTAATATCATCACTGCATTCGTCTCTTTATGCCCACAATTTGATGTCCCGATGAATTTGCTCTCATTACAGAGAAAACAAGTTATATATTAAACTATGGCAAAAATGTCCAAGTATGCAGAAATATGATCTATCATCATATATGGTAATTTAGGTGTCAACTCTTGGTACTTACCCTTCCTGCTAGTCTGGCAAACATGGAGTTCTGGTCCTCAGCTGTGCCCATCTTCTCACGCAGTACCTGTAGAAACCATTAAAACATATATCAATGTTGTGATGAAAATCAATTACTCAAAAGAGTAAAAAGTAAAAACAGAACATTACCTGATGATACGGTGTTAACTTACCAGAGTATTCAAATCAAATTGGTCATCATCATCGAAGTATCTCTGGCGGTCTCCAACCTTGTCATGAGTCTCCACCTTGAATCAATAGGACAAATGTTTATCATAAAGACATGAAACACATTTGACACGTAAGTAATAGGATGTTTTAAGACTAACAAAAGGCCCATGGGCATAAATGGTCACCCGAGTAAAATGAAGTACTCAAATTGTAGCATGTTCTTTTTTTTAAATTGGCACATAGTTACTTTGGAGAGAGGGCATACACCCATACTAACCTGGAGACCAGATATACACATGCTGTATAGATGAATTAGATGATCATTTAATGGATTATGTACAGATGAAGTTATAAATGTTCTAGTCAATCACAGGCCAGGGTGGCCATCTGGAATTTTACAATCAGTATGAAAAGTAACAAACTTGGTCGAAACCTCATAAGGAACACTTCTACTAAGTTAGAAGTCAATTAATGTAGCCTTTCTGTTAATTGAGAGGAAAATCAAAAACATCTCAGTCGATGAGAGGTCAGGGTGCAACATGACCATCTTGCATAATTGGATTATCTGATCGGCACAAAAAGTAAAAACACTTGTTAGGAACCTCATAAGTGAATTGCTGCAGATAATCTTGAGTAGTCGAGAATTTCTTGCCTTAGCAAATCAGAGGCCAGGATCGGCCATCTTGTATTCTCCGATTGGCAGTAACTTTGCAAGGTACTGTCTGATCAGGACCATTTTCAAACTTGTCCAAAATTTTATTGATATAAAGCAGCATAGCAAAAGTTATCGTGCTCACAAGATAAAAGTGAACGCACAACGACAGACAAAAACGAATGGCAATAGGTCACCATGGTCTATGGTCAGGTGACCTAAAAAAAACACTTTGTGTCACCCAATAAATTTGATTAACAAGAAGGAAGGTTCGGTGTTTCAATATAACTGCTATTACTGGTGTCTGGAAGGAATGAAATAGAAAATTTTATAAAAATAAATTATAACAAGCCAAAATTTGAATCAATTAAATGCAATTATTATTAAAGAAATCACTACAAATTAAAATGTAACCAAGAGACCCAATAAAACATTAAGCTACTTATTCATTTTGAACTCTAAAATACTGGACTTTCAGAATAGCACTTAACCTTGCAAAAATGGATCTCAATGTATTATTATATATCAAACACGTTAAGAGAACATAAGTATGCCCACTTGGGGATGAAACAGCAAAAGTTTAACCCAATGGGTCAGTATCTAGCCAAAAGTTTGTCGAGATATGTACAGCAAGAGGCCAAGAGGGCCTGTATCATTCACCTGGATATTTAATTAATCATGGCAAAACACTCTCACTAGAAGTAGTATTATAAACATGATCCCATGGATATTTATTATAACTAATGACCATGGATAGGGCCAGTTCCTTGAGCCAATCCTGGTAGTCTATGTGTATCCAACTCCATACTCAGCAATTGTATATTTCTATAGGGGTTGGTTTTTAAATGTCTCCATGTTATAACCTGATGATATTTCCAACCAAATCCAAGTTTTGCTGATATTCATAACATAATTTCAGAATAGAAGTTAATGATATAAATATGGTCAAATTATCTCTTTTACCCAACCCTCAGAAGAACAATGTATGAAATATTAAAACTACCTAGCATTGAATATCATACTGAGAGATAATGTAGGATAATTGTACCTTGTAAAAAACCATACAGTTGGGATACCTAACTTAATATATGGAGTGTCGAAATGATTTCCTTTTTTAGAGAATATTTGTTGCACCTTTTCTTTCTTTCTCCTACGTTTCCCCTGTTCTTTAGGGTGCTGTCTGTCAGGGAGTGGCTGGGCTATTCCATCTGGCCCCGTCCGTGACAGTACCACATATTCATCCTCAGCCTCTTCCTCCTTCTCCCCGACTATCCTTGGCATAGTCTTGTGTTCCTCCTTCAGCTTCCTTGATGCCTCCATCTGAGCTTTTATCTTAGACACCATTACCTTTTTACAAATATGAATGAAAGCACCATAATTCCAGCACTGAAAACAGAGGTATAGTTGCCAACATTTTTTATTGCATCATTAATAAGCTTTAACTGCCCTTCGTTAAGACTCCATCCTTTAGAAATGGCAGTAACACAGTTGAGTGATAAGACAATGCACCAAAACTACTGGGCGTTTTCGTCACATTGTGCACGCAACAAGGTGATTTAATAATCGATCGGCCTTCTGTGAAATAAAATTTGCATGCATGAAATGCACATATGTGCACTTTGGAAAAAATTCAGAAGAAACATGTGAAATAAGATACATGATAATTATGATGTATTTTATTTCTGATCAGTATTATTTTGCACTTTATCAGGTTTCTGCAATACGCGAAGGCATCATTACAACGACTGTAAAGCTATCAGTAATGGGTCTATACTCTCAGGTACTGTAGCAGTGCATAGTGAATTCAATGGAATGCATTGCCCATTAGAGTTGATCGTGGTAGATATTTGTCAACTGGACCTTACTTGTGTTGATCGTGGTCGATAATTGTCCACTGGACCTTACCTGTGTTGATCGTGGTAGATAATTGTCCACTGGACCTTACCTGTGTTGATCGTGTTAGATAATTGTCATCTGGACCTTGCCTGTGTTGATCGTGGTAGATAATTGTCTTCTGGACCTTACCTGTGTTGATTGTGGTAGATAATTGTAATCTGGACCTTACCTGTGTTGATCGTGGTAGATAATTTTCAACTGGACCTTACCTGTGTTGCTTGTGGTAGATAATTGTCATCTGGACCTTACCTGTGTTGATCGTGGTAGATAATTGTCAACTGGACCTTACCTGCGTTGATCATTGTAGATAATTGTCATCTGGACCTTACCTGTGTTTATCGTGGTAGATAATTGTCAACTGGACCTTACCTGTGTTGATTGTGGTAGATAATTGTCATCTGGACCTTACCTGTGTTGATCGTGGAAGAAAATTGTCATCTGGACCTTACCTGTGTTGATCGTGGTAGACAATTGTCATCTGGACCTTACCTATGTTGATTGTGTCGGTTATGGGTGTGAAAATTTCACAGATACAGATACAACTTATTTATTAGTCTTATTCCTTCCCCATACGTATATCAACGTGCCTAATGGCTAGGAGTGTTTGTGTTTTTTCTACAGATTTTATCCTGAATTGGCAGGCTGGTATACATTCACATGGAATGAAATAAAACAAAACTTGGCCTGTCTTGATCCTGTTACAAAACCGACATTAGTTTTTGTTTTACATTTTACTTCATGACTGTATCCTTATATAGCCAAAGTAATACATGAAGCATGCATTAACAAGAGTACAGTATAGAACTCCAATGTCTTGATTTAACTATTGTTGGGTTTTATCCGACATGGTTATAACATGGTAAACATTATCAAATTGATACTTTTAACATTTATGGTAAGTTTCATTGTGCTGCAACATGATTATTTTTCAAAACAGTAATAAATTATAAACCACAGCCAAAGAAAGGAATTTTAAATACAAATAAAGCCCCAATTGCTCTAATAAAGGCAAGCGATCATGTGTTCATGTATTCTGCTTTCGGTTTAAAGATCATCAATTTAGTAGCCAAATTAATTGATTTTAAAAGTTGACATACCTTTACTTTCCTAGCCCTGTCGACCCTGGCTGGTTTGCACTTTCAAGTCCAAACATTCAATATTAAATAGTTATTTAGAGATGCAATACTGTTAAACAACAGAATTAGATTTGCTATCTAAGTTCGTGGTTAAACGTGATGTTTGATAATAGTTAAAGGAATATTTGGTTAACTGAGTTCATTGTTTTACCTCATTCCCCATCAGCTCCGCTTTCACTAGTTTAGCTCCTAGTAGGTTCATTTCCTGTTCTGAAAGAACCTTGATTTCCTGCTTTTTGGCGGTTTCAATTGATGGATTTACAGCATCCCTTTTACCACTTTCATCAGCAGAATCGGATTCGGATGATGAACTGCTGTCTGAAGAAGTGCTGGAAACTGCAACATTAGACAAAGATCATGATAGGAAAATTACCTCACGGTTAAACTAGTGCGTACTACAATATATTCACAGGGTAATCATAATTATCTTTCCATTTGTAGGAAATTGGGCTAGTCCTACGAGCCAATCCTGGTAGCAGTTCAGATGTTTAAAGTTTTTAACATATTTGACTCCTGTGCCCTTGAATATGGGCAAAGGTCTTTCATTTGAACAAACTTGATCGCCCTTCATCCCAGCATGCAACTGGCCAAATGTCATCACCCTGGTCCTTATGGCTATTCAGAAGAAGTTGCTAAAAGGTTGTATAAGACAGTTGACCCGTGTGACCTTGGATAAGGGTGAAGGTCATTCATTTGAACAAACTTGATAGCCCTCCATCCAAGCATACTACTGGCCAAATGTCATCCCCCTGGTTCTTTTGGTTATTCATAAGAAGTTGTTTCAAAAAAGATTTAAATATATTTGACCCCTGGGACCTTGAATATGGGTGAAGGTCACTCATTTGAACAAAGTTGGTAGTCCTTCATCCCAGTATGCTTCCTGTTGTATAGCTACTGTTATATAAACCAGTGACCCAAATTCGCCATTGTGTTGTCAAAAGTATAAAGTGACTGGTTAGCTCATTAAAATTATCACCAGTAAGGAGAGGTCACCTTTAGTTGCCTAGGTAACGGGACACTTCTGAACGTTTGTTGCAGGTTAATTCGTAATTAATTTAAGTGTATGACAGAATTCGCTTATGTTTATAAAAAGTTAAATATCTTGGCCAAAATCCTTTAATCCCTACAATATTCCAATGTATATGTGTATACAATGTATCTACCGTTTCCAAGATAATTAGCCATGTCAATAACATAATGTACCGTCTACAGAAGTTAAGGGCCATAACTCTGGTAAATATTAAAGGAACATAATGGTGTTTGAGGAGACAACAGTTCATTTGAATTATAACATGTGTGCGAAGTTTCATCAAAATCCATGCATAAACCTAGGAGGAGTAGGAGGTACAATTTGTTTCCAGCAACAGACAGTCAGATGGACGGACAGACTTATTCCAGTATATCCCCATCCTCCCCCCGTTGCGGGGTGTATAATTACAGTTGGATAATGGTGGTCATTGAACTTGTCCCAGCTATCATGGCAATGAACCTCCCTTTGAAGTTTGAAGTTAATGCGTTGAAAACTTATGGTCCGATAATTAAGGTTATCGAAACTATCCGAGCTATCATGGTAATGAAACTTTCAATGAAGTTTGAAGTTAACTACTTGAGATTTCGACCGGACACTGTTGCGGCAATTGAATAAAGGACCATTACTCTGTAAATTACGGTCCGATAATTTTGGTCATCAAACTTGTCTTAGCTATCATGGTAATGAACCTTCTTATGAAGTTTGAAGTTAATCTTTTAAAAAATCCTCAAGATATCCACCAGACACTGTTCGTGCCCGCCCGCCAGCCCACTTGATAACACAATACGCCCCGTCATTCGACAAAAAAAAGAAATTAATTGCAATTAACAATACACCAGCAGACATCATATATAGCAGCGCTTTAGGCACTATTATATACAGATATTCTATAAGGAGGTATCAGGGAGGACACACCTGAAGCTGTTCTAGATGGATATACATGTAGCCCTTCATCCCAGCAAACACACTGAACATATATTTCTTAACATTTTCTTCAGGTTGGTAATTATGGATTATGAAAAGATTCTTGTAACACAACCAATAAGTGTTTTTATGTGACGTTTCAATGACTAGTATGGTATGTACTCACCTTCATCAGACAAACGGAAAGTGAAGCGTATGCACACAAAGATGTAAAATGTGTACGAATTGTTAACAAATAGATGTTGATTCAGCTACGCTGTAAGCGTATGTGTGTATTAGTTGTTATATATGTACCGAAATGACTCGATTCAGCTACGCTTTGTTTAATACTTGGTCATAGATGTAGGAGAGTCTATGAGCCCCCTAATATACTTTATCAAATCTCTTTCAACACTTACCTGAAGAAGAGATATTCATTGAAGGTTTCTCAGTTGATATTTTTGATGAGTTCTGTTCAACCTGTTTTGTTTTCATAAACTCCTTCTTTCTCCAAGATGGTGTGTAATTGTCCTCTTTGCCAGAGTTCCTTGGTGAGAAACTAGTGGACCTATCTCGGGAATCATCACCTTCTGATGGTCCCCTAAACATTGGCCTGCATTTAGTCTTTACATCTTCATCACTATCGCCTGGTCTTCTGAATCTTTTACTTCTCTCTCTTGAGTCTCTATCACACAACCTTGATTTTTTTTCTAGCAACTCTCTTTCACATGATCTTGACCTTTCCCGTCTTTTATTCATGAAGTTTGAACTTTTTCTATATTTATCCTTTGACCTTGACCTGTGTCTCTCTCCTGATCTTGACCTTGACCTTTTCCTATCTCTTGCTTGTGATCTTGATTTAGATTCATCATCACTGCTGCCAGGCTTTTTGAAACTCATTTTCCTTGATGATGTTTGATAGTCATCACCAAATGTGTCACTGTTATCTGGCTTTCTGAAGCTCTTTCTCCTAGCTTCAGGTGATCTGCATGTCCTTTCACCTTTACTCAGCTCTTTATTTGCTTTTTCTGCAGCAGCCAACTTCCTTTTTAATGATTTTAATGACTGAAAAAAGTAAATTTAAATAGAGAACTTTTTTTACATAACATATACCCAAAATGAACTTAATACAGTTGCCAATTTCCTCACCTGATGTGCCCAGGGATCATGCGATCATGTCTATGGCTGAACGGTTTAGAGAAAATGTTTCAACTCCAATTGAGCCAATTACTATGGTTTTACACTACACCAAATTTGGTTTAAATCCCTTCATTCATACAGAAGGAATAGGATTTTCATCATTTCCCCCTTTGCACTCCTTAATGGGCAGCGTCCTAAAGCCCCCAGGGTATCCACATCCTCAGTTTACAAAAAATTAGATTTGCCTTGTCCAAGGATGTTCTAGACAAAGTTTAGTTAAAATCTATTCATTTGTACAATGGAGAAGAATTTTAGAAGATTTACCTAAATTTCCCCTATAAGGGCCCCATCCCTCTGCCACCAGAGGGACCTTATCCTCCATTTATACAAAAATGGGTTCCTTTTGCCAACAAATCCTCTACACAAAATTTTGTTTGATCCATACAGGAAAAGAAGGATTTAAAACATTTTCCCCTTTGTTCCTCCGTATGGACCCCTGCCCCTCTGCTTCAAGGGGGTCCACACCCTCAGTTTATACAAAATTGAATCCCCCTAGCCCAAAGATGTTTCAGACAAAATTTGATTAAAACCTCTCCATTTGTTCACAGAAGGAGGAGAAGTTTTAGGACTTACCTAAACACCATTTGTTTATACAAAATGTAATCCCCTTTGGCCGATGGATGAACGATGTGCCACAGCATAAGCTCACCTTCGGACAGGTGAGCTAAAAATCCCTCCAGCACTTTCCAAGAAATAGAGTTAACAAACCTTAACTGTCAAATCCAAGATTGACGTCAGTTGGCCATTTTATTGTTTTGGGATTAGTCTCAAAAGTTAACATGCACAACTAAACCAGAGAAACTTACATATTCAAATTTGAAAAAGATATCTCCAGTATCTAGTGTGAAATATGGATATTTATTACATACTTACTAATAAATACGTTTTTTTTGTATATGAGATACGACACAATGGCTCTTACCCATATCAGCCCTCGACGTATCACACCCCAAAACCTGTATCAGCCCCCACCGTATCACACCCCAAAACCTGTATCAGCCCGCACAACCCATATCACACCCCTTTTGGACATTTTTCGTATTTCAAAAGAAAAAATAGATCATAAGATAGTAGTTTTATTAGTAAGTATGTAATAAACAGAATAAAACATACCATTTTCCATATCACACCCAGTATCAACCCTCGACCAATATCAGCCCTCGGGTTGATACTGGATGTGATATGGAAAAAGGCATGTATTATTCTCTATACAACATGTGGCCAAGATTGCATTATTTGAGCAATCATGGGAAAATATTCTCCATAAAAGTACTTTTGCAAATATTTCAATATATTGAGTCTCCATGTCTTAAGAATGATCCAGACTAAATGAAACTTTATATTACTCTATCCCAGCATTCTTCTGGTCAAATATCATCACCCAGGGACTCCAGAAGAAGTATTCACATATTTGACCCCTGTGACCTTAAAAGTGGGTCAAGGTAATATATTAAGGGAGACTTTATAGCACTCTGTCCCAGGTACCTACTAGCCAAGTATTATTACTCTGGGCCTCCTGATTATTCTGAAGAAGATGTCTAAAGTTTTTTTCATATTTGACCCCTGTGACCTTAAAGGTAGTCCAAGGTCATTTATTTGAAGAAACCATAAATTATGTACTTTGTCCAAGGTTCCTACTGGCCAAAGATAACTTATTGCTCTAGGCCTCTTAGTTATTCAAAAGAAGTCGTTTAAAAGGTTTTATAATTATGAACCCAGTGACCTTGAAAGAAGATCAAGGTCATTTATTTGAGGAAACTTTATATCTTTTCATGTGAGGTACCTACTGGCCAAGTATCAGTACTCTGGGCCTCCTGGATATTCTGAAAAATTGTTTAAAGGTTTTTACAATTTTGAACCCTGTGACCTTGAAAGCAGGTAAAGGTCATTTATTTGAGGAAACTTTATATCATTTCATGGCAGGTACCTACTGGCCAAGTATCAGTACTCCTGGTTATTCTGAAGAATTTGTCTATTTTTTATCCTCCATATTTGACCCCTGTGACCTTGAAAGAACGTTGAGGTCATTTATTTGAGGAAACCATATAGCACTTTGTCCCAGATTACTTCTGGTCACATATCATTGCTTTAGGCCTCTTGGTTATTCAGAAGAAGTTGTTAAATTGTTTTTACAATCTTGAACCCTGTGACCTTGAAAGTAGGTCAAGATCATTAATTTGAGAAAAGGTTAAAGCACTCTGTCCTAAGTACCTACTGGCCAAACATCATTACTCTTGGCCTACTGGTTATTCAGAAGAAGAAGTTTAAAGGTTTTTAAACACATTTTACCCATGTGACTTTGAAAGGAGGTCAATATAATTTATTTGCAAAAACTTTATAGCACTTCATGCCAGGCACTTACTGGCCAAGTATTATTACTCTGGGCCTCCTGGTTATTCAGAAGTTGTTTGAAGGTTTTTACATATTTTTACCAGTGACCTTGAAAGTAGGTCAAGGTCATTTATTTGAGGAAACTTTATAGCACTCTGTCCAAGGTACCTTCTGGCCAAATATTATGGCCCTAGGTCCTACAGTTCTTAAGAAGAAGTCGTTCAAAGAAAAAGTTGAGGGATGATGGGTGACGGACCACACACCATACCATAAGCTCAACTGGCACTTTGTGCCAGGTGATCATCTAACAAACCTTCACTGTCAAAATCTGAGATGGCTACCTATTGGCCATTTTGTATTTTCAGATCAGTCTCGAAAGTAATATGCACAACTAAGGACCCAGAGGAACTTACACATGAAATTTGAGACAGAAAACAGCATAAGCTCACTTTGCCCTTCAGGAAAGCATTCCATTTTTAACAGACGTTAATTGAAAATCCCAAAGAATGAATCTCCTGTTCAAGACTTAACAAAACATTCGCTTGTCAATAATTAATTGACTAAATAAGAAAAGAAATTGAAAACATTGTAATCTTGATTTGCTGAGAGAGTTATTTTCTTTTGGCATGATTGACAAGCCAAACCTTTCAAGGTAAATAAAGAAATAGGATATTTAAATAATTATGAAATCAATTAGTTATATAAAACACACCCCATACGTGTCTGCAGCAACTTCCTCCACTGTTTTGTTCTCTTCTTTTGCCTTTTGGACACACCTGTCGTAGGCCTTCCTCAGCCAGGACACGCCTCCATCCCCCATCAGTGCAACAGGTTTGTCTTTTTCCCCCTCATTTGTCGGTAACCCGGTGCCTCCTTCCTTCCAATAAGGATTTAGTTCTAAAGCATGCTGTCCAGGCTGCCATAAATAACAAAAAAATATATTTTAGGCAATTACCTTTTTCACAAGTCATTGAAATTTCATAATCAAAGTGCGGCACCATGGCACTGGAGGATTGACAACATGAATGTGTGTGTTTTTTATCCTATAAATTTGATCTTGAATGGGCAGACTTCACAATGGTGTCTGTATACATTTTATGCGAAATGAAATAAAGCAAAACTGGGCCAACTCGCTCCTGTGCAATAACATTGATTTTTGTTTTACATTTTACTCAATGAATAATAGCATGCATAAACAATTGTACAATGCTACCTCAATGTTTTCCCCTTTTACTAAACATTATATTTTTTATACCTTTATTTGGCTCATAATGCTATAGTTTATTTCAATATATTTGACCCCTGTGACCTACGATATGGGTGAAGGTCATTCATATGAACAAACATGATGTGCTTCCACCAAGCATGTCACTAGCCAAATATTATCACTCTGTGTCTTTTTGTTATTCAGAAGAAGTTATTTAAATGTCTTTTTAAGATGATTTATATAATTGACCCCTGTGACCTTGAATATTGGTGAAGGTATTCAGTTGAACAACTTGGTAACCCTTCATCCCAGCATATGACTGGCCAAATATCACCATTCTGGCCATTTTGGTCAATTAGAAAAATTGGTTTTAAGTTTTAAAGATATTTGACCTCTGTGACACTGATTACTCGTCATGGTCATTCATTCGAACAAACAGCATGTTTTGCTGTTTTGACCTACCCCTGTCCCAGGGTGTTTACCTGATCTAGAAGGTTTTACTGTTTTGACCTACCACTGTCCCGGGGTGTTTACCTGATCTAGAAGGTTTAACTGTTTTGACCTACCACTGTCCAAGGGTGTTTACCTGATCTAGAAGGTTTTACTGTTTTGACCTACCACTGGCCCGGGGTGTTTACCTGATCTAGAAGGTTTTACTGTTTTGCCCTACCTCTGTCCCGGGGTGTTTACCTGATCTAGAAGGATTAACTGTTTTGACCTACCACTGTCCAAGGGGGTTTACCTGATCTAGAAGGTTTTACTGTTTTGACCCACCACTGTCCCAGGGGGTGTACCTGATCTAGAAGGTTTTACTGTTTTGACCCACCACTGTCCCAGGGGGTGTACCTGATCTAGAAGGTTTTACTGTTTTGACCCACCACTGTCCCAGGGTGTGTACCTGATCTAGGAGGTTTTACTGTTTTGACCTACCACTGGCCCGGGGTGTTTACCTGATCTAGAAGGTTTATCTGTTTTGACCTACCACTGTCCAAGGGCGTTTACCTGATCTAGTTGGTGTTGCTGTTTTGACCTACCACTGTCCCAGAGTGTTTACCTGATCTAGAAGGTGTTACTGTTTTGACCTACCACTGTCCCGGGGTGTTTACCTGATCTAGAAGGTTTTACTGTTTTGACCTACCACTGTCCCAGGGTGTTTATATATAATTACCTGATCTAGAAGGTTTTGCTGTTTTGACCTACCACTGTCCCAGAGTGTTTACCTGATCTAGAAGGCTTTACTGTTTTGACCTACCACTGGCCCAGGGTGTTTACCTGATCTAGAAGGTTTTACTGTTTTGACCCACCACTGTCCCAGGGTGTGTACCTGATCTAGAAGGTTTTACTGTTTTGACCTACCACTGTCCAAGGGTGTTTACCTGAACTAGAAGGTTTTACTGTTTTGACCTACCACTATCCCAGGCTGTTTACCTGATCTTGTTAGTGTTGATGTTTTGACCTTCCACTGTCCCAGGGTGTTTACCTGATCTAGAAGATTTTACTGTTTTGACCTACCACTGTCCCAGGGTGTTAACCTGATCTAGAAGGTTTTACTGTTTTGACCTACCACTGTCCCAGGCTGTTTACCTGATCTTGTTAGTGTTGATGTTTTGACCTACCACTGTCCCAGGGTGTTTACCTGATCTAGAAGGTTTTGCTGTTTCTCTTTCTCCTCCTTGTCCTTTTGGATAGACTCCCTTATTTCCTGTCGTGAGGTCAATGGAATCAGATCAATGGGTGCCTCCATCCAGCTGTCTCGCTGTCATATATAAGGAATAGGACTGTTCAAGTCTGTCTGTTTTACTTTTTAAATTAAATTTCAAAAGTGGTTGGTTCAGACCTGTAGGGACCCAATCATCTTGCCCAATCTTTTTATTCCATGTGACTGGCTGTTTAGGACGATCAAATAATGTACAAACCTATACCACAGACTGTCGAAAAGATCAAATTATGTACAAGTCAAAAACTACATAATTTTCATTGTGTATAAAATATCAGTGTTTACATTTTACCTCATTTACTCAGCTCAGGCCTTCTTGAATTTTATATTTATTTATTTGAAGGTTATAGGATATTTAAATTTGAAATAAGGTTTTTATTGATTGTAATAAATTGAAGTAAATATTTTTCACCTGGAGTTGTGGTCCTTTGACAGCTGTTAACTGCTCTTCTACAAATTTATTTCTTTCCTTTGGTTTCTCAACCCAAATCTCATCAGCATCCTGTTAAACATGATAAACTTCATCTAAATAAATACACATATACAAAAAAATATTTTATATAGCTATACTACTATGTAAAATGTTGAAAACTGTCAAATCTGTTAATTCTCACAGAATGGAAAGTTGGAGGGTTTCTCCTACTGAAAACATAGGAAATGCATGTAATCAGTCCAGCTTAATTTGGGCACAGCAAGAACATGTAATTCTCAGATGACAATATCCCTTTCAACAGGATTTTCGAAGTTTTACAATGTACATATCACTAAAAACAATTGATGTAACACATGTAACAGTCAGATGTACTACCATCAATCTTACAGTCAGATGTACTAACGTCAATCTTACAGTCAGATGTACTACCATCAATCTTACAGTCAGATGTACTACCGTCAATCTTACAGTCAGATGTATTACCATCAATCTTACAGTCAGATGTACTACCGTCAATTTTACAGTCAGATGTACTACCAGCAATCTTACAGTCAGATGTACTACCGTCAATCTTACAGTCAGATGTACTACCATCAATCTTACAGTCAGATGTACTACCATCAATCTTACAGTCAGGTATACTACCATCAATCTTACAGTCAGATATACTACCGTCAATCTTACAGTCAGATGTACTACCATCAATCTTACAGTCAGATGTACTACCATCAATCTTACAGTCAGATGTACTACCATCAATCTTACAGTCAGATGTACTACCATCAATCTTACAGTCAGATGTACTACCATCAATCTTACAGTCAGATGTACTACCATCAATCTTACAGTCAGATGTACTACCATCAATCTTACAGTCAGATGTACTACCATCAATCTTACAGTCAGATGTACTACCATCAATCTTACAGTCAGATGTACTACCATCAATCTTACAGTCAGATGTACTACCATCAATCTTACAGTCAGATGTACTACCATCAATCTTACAGTCAGATGTATTACCATCAATCTTACAGTCAGATGTACTACCATCAATCTTACAGTCAGATGTACTACCATCAATCTTACAGTCAGATGTACTACCATCAATCTTACAGTCAGATGTACTACCATCAATCTTACAGTCAGATGTACTACCATCAATCTTACAGTCAGATGTACTACCATCAATCTTACAGTCAGATGTACTACCATCAATCTTACAGTCAGATGTACTACCATCAATCTTACAGTCAGATGTACTACCATCAATCTTACAGTCAGATGTACTACCATCAATCTTACAGTCAGATGTACTACCATCAATCTTACAGTCAGATGTACTACCATCAATCTTACAGTCAGATGTACTACCATCAATCTTACAGTCAGATGTACTACAAACCATCAATCTTACAGTCGGATGTACTACCATCAATCTTACAGTCAGATATACTACCGTCAATCTTACAGTCAGATGTACTACCGTCAATCTTACAGTCAAATGTACTACCATCAATCTTACAGTAAGATAAACTACCATCAATTTTACAGTCAGATGTACTACGTACCATCAATCTTACAGTCAGATGTACTACCATCAATCTTACAGTCAGATGTACTACCATCAATCTTACAGTCAGATGTTTTACCATCAATCTTTATAGTCAGATGTATTATTATCAATCTTACTTACACTGTCAGATTTACTTTCACTGTCAGAGCCTTTTTGATGTTTTTTCTTTCTTTTCTTTTCTTTTTTCAACTTTCTCTTTTTTTTCTTTTCTTTGCTTCTTTTCTTGGACTTGACTTTTTCCATTTCCTAAAAAATACACCTTATTAGCCCAATATTCCCTCCCCCCTTCCTTAGCAAAAGTATGCAAAAAAAGGGGGAAAAAAATGTGTACCAGGTAAAGTTATAATTACATGTATCTTAAACACATTTAGGTTATTAGAGGAACTGCCTATTAATAAATTATAAAATGCAAGTATAAATAAATGCAACTGAAAAGTTATGACAACTAAGGTTCCAATTCCCTAAAAATTCAAAAGATACAACTGACAAGTTTGCACTGATATGACCTTTGATTTTGAGATCAAGGTCACACTGACCTAATGACAGCACTGCACTGCACATAATCTATGGCTACTGCAAGATTCATTAAGATATCTAATGGTTTCAAAGTTGCAGACCATTCTAAATGTTACTGAAAAATGTCATTTATTTGACCTTGAGGTCTAGGTCACATTCGACCTAATGACAGAGCAGTGCACATCATATGTTGGTGTTGCAGCTATACTGCAAGTTTCATCAAGATATCTTTACCGGTTTTAAAGTTACAGTTTGGAAAGTTTTTCTTGACCTTGAGGTCACAGTGACCTAATGACAGTGCATTGTGTCGTCTGTTTCATCAAGATAACTTTAACAGTTGAAAAGGTATGACTAGGCCAAAAAATCATCGGGAAAAGAGCAGGTACTAAAATTTCATTGGAAGGGGAGACATATCTATCATTTGAGCATGCAATATCTTATCGTACGTGAAAAGGTATAGGGTCACCTGCCCGACCATGTGAGTTTTCTCCGGGTACTCCGGTTTCCTCCCACACTGAGACCCCCGCGCACTAAGATCCGGGCCAACAAGAGTGATTAATATAAGTTGAAATAACTTGTTTCATAATTGTTTTTAAATAAATAAAGTTTGGTTATTTTTTTTAAGCAATAGCTAGCTAGGTTAGGATTCTAACAAGGGTTTCTTCATACTATATAGCAGCATATTTCCACAGAGATTATATTTTCGCAATTTCACAAGTCAATAATGTGTTTGCAAAAATATGATCCACACAGAGAAAAAAAAAAACTTCATAACTGTAACATCGCCAAAAACAAGCATTGTGATGATTCATATACACTAGGAGTCACGATGTTTGACAATAGATTATATCACACACAGAATAGTTTTGTTGATGATTTAATTAACAAAATGCAGGTTCTTATTGTTGCTCAATGACAATATGCTGTCATAAGGCATATTCATTTGACTATTTGACATTACATATGCCAAATGTCCTATCTGTATATATATGCTAAAACACAGCAAAAATTTAGTTTCTTTGCATATTTAGATAGCAAAACTATAATCTGTGTCAAGATATGTATTATACAAAGACACTTAGAGAATGAATATGATTACTTTTTCTTCTTTGTCAATTCTGCTTTGGATCGAAGGTAACATCCATTCATCTTCTCCACGGAGTTTTGCTTGTTCTTTTCTCCATTCAGCTTTTTCATATTCTTTCTTTGCCTAAAAATAAAACATATTAAATTCAATTCAACAACTTTTGAACTTACTTCTAACAACAAACACAGACTTTTTATATCAAATCATAATAACAAGAGGTCCTAAGGGCCTGCATCACTGACCTGTCTATTAAAGCAACAATGGTAAAATATTCTCATTAAATATCATTTTCCAAATATTGGCTCTGTTTCTCAGCAACACCAGATCCTCATTGGGTTCCCTTTGTTTGCCTCTATGAAGTGGGGCTGATTTTAAACATTATTGTCAAGTTTCTGTACTTTTACAGTATCTCAGAAAAGTATACATTTGCTGTATATTTTAAGTACCTAGATAAAGTTATATCTTGATTGTACCTTTTTCACTAGTACTGCTGATTTGTGGCTAAATGTAACTTTTGTGTACCTTTTTGGTTTTCCAATAAAGTAATGATTGAACTGAACAAAGTGTTTGAGTGTAACTTTTCAGTACCTTTTTGTACCTTTTTAGTACTAGATTGAAACTCTCTTTCTCACAAGGTTCCAATCTAGCATCAAAAGTTATAACTTTTTTGTACTCAAAAAGAAATAACTATTTTGTAACTTTTTTCCGTATGGGGATCCCCTATTGAGTCCCAGCCCTCTGCCCAGGGGGCCACACCCTCAATTTCTACAAAACCGAGACCTCTTTGTTGTCCAAGGGTACACACATTTTTGTTTTAAATACCTCCAATTTTACTAAAGGAGAGGGTTTTAAATAAGTTCCCCTAATGGCACTCAACCCTCTGACCCCAGGGAGCCACACCCTCCATTCATTTACACAAAATTGAGTTCCAAGAATGCCCCACACAAACATTCATTTAAAATCTCTCCCATTCCACTAAAGGAGAAGGGTTTTAGACTCTTATCACTATGTCCCCATGGGGACCTGCCCCTCTTATGTTCAATCCCTATATAACACGTTTATACCAAATTTCAGTTTGCTATTTGAAAAATTGACCCAGTTATCGTGAGGTAAAATGCACCCCCTCCCACTTGACTGTTTACTACACTGCTCAATAAATGCGTTTTCAGTAAAAAAAAAAATATGGATAATCTAACATGTTGTAGAATTAGATTAGATCTAAGTCTGTGATTAACGTAGTTTTACTTCTTTTCGTTACCCAGGTATTAATTGTTTATGCCTTCGATGGAAGTATTGTGATATATTTACTTTTAAATGTTGATAGCTTTATCCAGACCGTAGGTCACATGTAAACCTCCCTAAAATCCTTTAAAATGTCAAAACATGTTCAATTTTGGTTTTAATAAAGTAATTGTAATTCAGAATAACACAAATGATTTAATACTATGTTATATGCAGTATAATTTATGATAACAGTTTTGTACTGTATGAGTACGAAATCGCAGCACGGAAACCGATAACACGAGGGTACCTGTGGTTCGTTGAAGTCGGATACTACATGCAGATCCAGAACAGGTTGGGCACAACGGCCCATATGGGTAACAATCCTGCATTTGGGTAACAGTTACCCATTTCAGTAACAATTTTATTACTGAAATGGGGAATAATGTGAAACAAAAACACACAAAGTTCTTTTAAACAATATGAACAAAAAAGGACGATATTCTTTCAACATAATCCAATAAAAAATACAATTAGATACAATTGTGCACACAAATGTGTTAATTCAGTTGTCTAAATTTTGGTGAAAATGACCAACAATTATATAAAATTGAGACCTCTTGGCCCAAGGATTTTAAAGGTATTACCTCTATTTCCCCTATTGGACCCCGACCCTCAGGTCCAAGGGGGGCCACACCTACTGTTTATACAAAATTGGTTCCCCTTTACCCAAAGATGTTCCACACCAAATATGGACCAAATCCTTTCATTCCTACAGAAGAAGAAGGATTTTAAAGAATAATTTGCTATGTTTCCCCTATTGGCCCCGCCCCTCAGGCCCCTGCCTGTCCAGACCCACCGTTTATACAAAATTGGTTCCCCCTCACCCAAGGATGCTCCAGACCAAATATGGAACATTCCTACAGAAGGAGACGGATTTTAAAGAATTTGCTATGTTTCCCCTATTGGGCCCTGCCCCTCAGGCCCTTAGGGGGCCAGACCCACGGTCTATACAAAATTGGTTCCCCTTCACCCAAGGATGCTTTAGACCAAATATGGAACAAATCCTTTCATTCCTACAGAAGAAGAAGGATTTTAAAGAATTTGCTTTATTTCCCCTATCGGGCCCGCCCCTCAGCCCCCAGGCTGGCCAGACCCACTGTTTATACAAAATTGAGTCCCCTTGGTCCAAGGATGCTCCACACCAAATATGGAACAAATCCTTTCATTCCTACGGTAGAAGAAGGATTTTAAAGGTTTTACCTCTATTTCCCCTATTGGGCCCCGTCCCTCTGCGCCCAGGGGGGGCACACCCACCGTTTATACAAAATTGAGTCCCCTTGGCCTAAGGATGCTCCAGACCAAATTTAGTCAAAATCTACTTGGCCGTTCAGGACTAGTAGCGTTTTAAAGGAAAAGTTGACTGACAGACGGACGGATGGGAGACGGACGCTGCGGTGTGGCATAAGCTCACCCTGGTCCTTTGGACCAGGTGAGCTAAATATCATGCTTACCTGTCACATTTGCACTGGATGATCCCATTGACTACACACTGAAGTCAATGGAGAACAAAGTTATTGATATGGTTTGTCATTTTCAGAAAAGTTAGATATCAGAATTGATTACTTTTTGCAGAGACGTATATTACAGAGATTGGCAACTCACGCAGATCTCGCAAAAACATACATGATTGTATTGTTCAAGCAGTGGAATTAGAAACGCCGCGAGACTTGGGTTGCGGCTGTGCAATCACGCAAAATCTGATCGATGAGTGTTTGTTTTGTCAGCTTATCGATCCTGGTGACGATAGTCTGGTCAGTGAGTTACCTGTGAGAATTTGATCGTGTATTCGTTAGTTCGTGTCAACATATCACATATCCAAGATATATGGCTCATATAAAGAAGCTGGTTAGAAATATAATGTAATATCTGAATACGTTTTTGAAATAAAATAATGAACGAAAAAAGTAGTGTCAGTGTCATAAAAGGAATTAACCCTCGCACATCACAGCTGCCATTTTCAGTTTTAAAGTGTATTTTCAGAGCTCAATTATCAAACTTTGCAAGTTTTGTAAAAACCTTATTTGAAAAAGCTGGCTAGAAATATTATGTTTGAATAAATATCTGAAGATGTTTTTGAAATTAAATAATGAATTAGAAAGGAGTTCGTGGTTTAATGTGTTGAGAAAGAAAAAAATCCTCACACATCACAGCCGCCATTTTAACTTGTTTACTCAGAAAAACCTGTATTTTCATAGCTAAATAATGAAACTTTGCAAGTATTGTAACAACCTCATTTTAATTTCCTGGTTAGAAATATTATCAAATAATTAATATCTGAAAACTTTTTTGAAATTGTCTAAAGAACAAAAATGGAGTTTGTGTTCTCCTGAAGCCAGAATCATTACCGATATGTAAACACAGCCACGATGTGCAATCTTTCAATGTTTGCTGTTTTCTAAACTTAATCATTCAAGTTTACATTCAATGTAGCATTCCCAAACCGCATGGAAATCTCAGCTAGCTACAGGTTTAATATGATGTTGATTTTCAATGTTTTCTCATGGCATAATTATGTTTTGAACAGGACAGGATTATTGATTGCAGCGAACCGTATATCCAATATGGTGCAGGTGAAGCATAACTCGCGATATGACATCCGGTTACCAGTGACCAATGTTAAGGCCAAGAGCAAGTTGCCAATCCCTGTATTAAACGTCTCTGCTTTTTGTGTACAAATGTACTTCATTGTGTTATTTATTGGATTTAGTTGAAAGAATATCGCCCTTTTGTTTAAAAGAACTTTGTGTGTTTTTATTTCACTACATTCACCATTTCAGTTATAAAGTTATTACTCAAATGAGTAACCAAAATACAGGATAATTAATGCGCCGTTAATATGTTGTGCCCAACCTGTAGAAGTCTGGGAGGATCGAACCCTGGCCGCGTGGAAGGCTGGAGTGTTAACCACTCGACCAGTCAGCATTTATCATAACTCTTTCAAATCCAAGGTAAATTTAACATACGACATATTGTTCTGAACGACTTGAATAAAAATGGGCCGAAATTGCCCCTGTCCCAATATGGGGACATATATTTTGAAATAAAATCCCACACTGGCTGGCAGGGGTTGTCAGGGATGGGGGGTGAGAGATCCTGGTTTAACCCCTTTCCACGAAAAAAATATAATGGTTAATTCATTGAATTATGCGAGGACTTGATGTTCAGTCTGCTGACAGTACATAAAATGTAATTGTTAAATTATGTAGGAAACAGTAATTTCTTGTGTAGGCCCGCTGTTTAGGTCTCGCCTATTTCATAGTATACAGAATTTACATGATACGCAGCTGGTTATCACCTTTTCCAAAACAACTGCCCTGGCTCTCTGTTTTTCTTCTCTCTTCGCATCTTTAACTTTTTCACTTTCAAAGGGAACACACGTAGCCATGTCGGAAGAGTGTCGAAGAAGAAGACAGTTATACCGTAATAATCGCGTTCAACTAGACACTTGATCACTTGTTGGCGAAACTTGCAAAGACAACAAGAGTCTGGTTGAGCAAGACTAATACAGGAAATGTATCATGTATACTAAATTTTGAAACTTTCGTCAGAACAGGGGACTGTTCGTTTATGCGGAACAACCGGTTTGACCGTTTGTAAATGTAACAATTTCGGGTATAAATCCTGGCGGACCTGCAAATGTTTATGCAGGCCTTACAAGGCTATTTGCAAGGCTATGTCAAGAATCGCCTGAAAGCAGCATCAGATAACTAGTTCCGACTTTATTAAATAAACGAAAAACTGTGGTTCGACCGGTTTGACCGTTTAAACGAAAACGGTCCACCTGTCCCTCACATGGACCGGGGCTAGTGAGAACCGTCAAGATAGGATAACTCGTCCGGACTTCGATCATTATATCTTTAGTTGAATACGTAGATGGTATATATCTATATATTGTAGCAGGCCTGGCCTTGGTTTTCTGTGGTCATCAATTAGAGCAGAGACGTATACTACTGGCTTTATACGTCTCTAATTAGAGTCACTTCACAAACACAATAAAAAACAGTTCACTTGTTTTTATTTCACATCATATCGTCAATCATATATTTGTACAGGGGTACGTGTTGCAATTCTCTCAAACATCATGCTCTCATACTGTCAGAGGTCAGTGTGGTGGGAGACAATAATGTACTGCATAAAACTTCAAATATAGAATTACTTGTGTCGTTTATCAAGAAAACAAGCTTAAAGGGACATCACGGTGAAGTATATTTTGTTTTTGTCTCTCAGTATGGCACTTAAATCAATTCCTATACCACCCAAGCGTATGTTCATGGGACTTCACACTAGCGTATATATTATGAATGTATGTGTATTTATACAAATATTTGATACACACAAAGTTATGACAGTGGTCTTAGACGATTAAGACCAGGGTGGGGGTGGGATCTCTCAGCAAATTCGTCTCACAGAATTTTTTATCGGAAAGTCCCCCACCCTTCATAACTGTCCTCATTTAGATATACGTCTTTAAATAGGTGGCAATTTTCAACTTTAACCTATTTGGATTTTAATATTGGTTGGAACCTCAAATAAAGTTCTGATTCCAGGACATACCCATAAAGGGACCCCATGTACTGTTGCAAAATGCAACAGCCAATGCGGAAAGTGCCCAGGTGGGGAGGATATGTGAGGGAGCTATGGTCTCAACCAGAGGGGGGTCTCCCTCAAGGAAATTTTTGAGTTTCTGATGAGAGATCATGTATCTCCAGTGTGTCTAAAAAAAACGGCTTTGTTGGACACTTTTGGATCCATATTGGGCCACATCTGCACAGCATGTATACGATGTCTCATGCAGTCCATTTAATGATCACGTATAAATCTTTATTGCACATAATAATATCTTCAGTTTCAATCCAGTTTTTATTGGTAATTGCAGCCTCTTTGGATTTATTCACATCTTCCAAATCTTCCTGCGCTGCCTGAAATACAAAATAGAATGCATCATTTAATGTTTTGGTTGTTTTCATTGTTACAAAGCTTATTATTCTATATAATATTTAACAGTCTTTTTTATTAGTGATGCCTTTTCCATGTTCAATATTTTTTATCATATTTTCTTTAGACCTGACCAGGGGCGGATCCAGATTTTTTTCGGACAGATGTCACCATTCCAGTTTGTTTTTGCTACACACGTAATCTGAACCATATATAGAGTTGCACAAACTTAGATACCTGTCTTGGCTAGCCACCTTAAACCTTCCCAACTTCTTTCTTTCTTTCTTGCATTTTTTAAAGTAAAATGCCAGAGCGGAATGAATCATGGATATATTACTAATTTTTTTAAATTATTTCATGTAAGAAAAAGATTCTCGGATTAAAAATTCAATTTCTATGTATTTGCTGAAAATGTCTAAAAAATGTCTAAATGATTATTATGCAATCTGTCAATGGGCAGGATATGATTATTCATAAAGAAAACTCTTGAATGTGCTATTTTTATGTAACTTTAACACTTGCGCCCTGTTACTACTACAGACCACTAGTACTGACCTTACACGTAACAAAATTAACGTCTCTATCATGGTTCGCTGACCAATTCAATTGATGCTGGGGAAGTGTCAACAGTTCAACACCGACTTTATAAACATGTTAGAGGGGAGGGGACAGATATTGCGCAGGCAGTGCAATACACAAATGGTTACAGAATCATTACTCAAGAAATGAAAATATCAAAATCAGTTAAGCTTGCTCGCTCGGAATGAACCCAAAACATAATATATTGACTTCAACATCAATGTGATAGTGCGTCAGAGACGTAAACTATATATTGGCTTTATACCAGCTTGGGGGTGATACATAATATCATTCTGGAGTTTCATTTATATTGCACACTGTTTATGTTGGAACAAATCAACATGTTATTCACTGATTCATAGTACGTACCTTGCCACACAATCTTTACATACTCGATGATGCATCTGTTGGCTAAACTCGGCTTCCACAGCATTATTGTACAATGTACAATTATGTTGCCCTGGCCCGAGCTCTCCTGACAGCTAACGGTTCCCATCCGAAATAGTCCATCATGGCTGTCATACTACCTTCTTCTCTGGAGAAGGAGTTGTTGGTCACAAATCTCGCCGCCTGCTTTTGAACTCTCTCCAGCTTGTCAGTGTGTTGGGCGTGGTAGGGGTCCCATACCGCTCCAGCGTATTCCATTATGGGTCGAACCAGAGTGGTATACGTCCTTGCCCTAACTTCCTCAGGGCAAGCACACAGGCTCTTTCGGAGGAAACCTACATATTTCTCTGCCTCTGATGAGGTAGGACTGGTGTGGCTGGTGTGGTCGTGCCAGGATCGGAGAGGTCATTGCTTATGGAAACACCGAGGTATTTGGTGTTCTTGACCTCTGCAAGATTTACACCGTTCAGGTTGTAGATGGTCTTCTGCTTGTTTTTTCTTCGTGTTATGTGCGTGACGACGCATTTGTCCGGGTTCAAAGTCATCTGCCAGTCGCATGTCCACTGACGAATAGCGTTGAGGTCGGTCTGCAGGTTGGGGCTGCCTCTGTCAGAGCTGATTGGTCGGTATATGATGAAGAGCGTTGAGGTCGGTCTGCAGGTTGGCGCTGTCTCTGACAGAGCTGATTGGTCGGTATATGATTAAGAGCGCTGAGGTCGGTCTGCAGGTTGGCGCTGTCTCTGACAGAGCTGATTGGTCGGTTTATGATGATGAGCGTTGAGGTCGGTCTACAGGTTGGCGCTGTCTCTGTCAGAGCTGATTGGTCGGTATATGATGAAGAGCGCTGAGGTCGGTCTGCAGGTTGGCGCTGTCTCTGTCAGAGCAGTCGTCAGCAAAAAACTAACAATTTACCGACTCAGAAAACTGAAAACTGCATTATGGACAGGTGGTATTACCTCTAAAGATTGGACACCAGGGTGTGACTAGGTTTATGACCCTATAATTATGTCGGACCCTGTGTTGTCAAGAAAGACCTGGACCTCAGGTGCTTTGTTTTTGATGCTATGGAAGTTTACCACAACATTTCTCGCGGATGTTTTTAGTGAGGAGGCTGCTTATGGCGTACCTATATGAAACGTGGTAGCAGTTGGAGACGTAATGCTATCCTCCGAAATGCTGTTCAAACTGGCGAAAGCATTGTCGCTGGCACTCAACATGGTGTAAAGAGTGGTATGGTTAGATGAATCACACTTGACGCACGACCAGACTGTTGACTTTGTTGGCTATATGGGGATCCCAGCATCGTGATGAATGACGAAGGATCCATGGTGATGTTTCATATCACATTGGTCACAAAAATAGATTCAGAATAATGGTGTAAAATGCTACGAATGGCGGTCCGAGCATACGCACACCAGGTATGCGCACAATATCTAAACATATTAACCTCGCTCGTATCTTTGTCTAAGTTGGAACACAGATGATGTAAATGGGCATGTATCGGATAGAGTTTACTTTGTGTTTCTATATACAGTGGTTTATGCGAAAGGAAGGGATAATTGACTGGTTAGTTTGATTTTTATATGGGACCCTCCAAGGGAAAACTGTTGTGATGACCACGGCGTATACTGTCCTCTGTCGGTACTCGGGGTCAAATGAGATACGTGCGCTATTAGATTTACATAATTTATCATATTTCCGGTTTCAGTAAAATGGTATGATTTAATTATATTGTTGAAGTAAACGATTTTTTTTATTTACAGATCCTACTTATAGTAAATAGGATCGCATAACAAAAATGTATGATCAATTAATTTTCGACTTCGGATAGAATCGGAATACGCATTGAAAACGGAGAAAAAACCCATTTGTTTACGTTATAAAATCGAGGCGTGCTGCCGATAACTACGGCTTCTGTTTCGGACAAAAAGAACTGATTAAAAAAAAGTTTTCTCAACATAAAAACGGATCCATGTACAAGTATACTTTAATCTATGTAAAGTAGTGAAAAACAAATAATCATCAAGTATCTTAACACGTTCTATATCTGACACACATTTGTACACGTAGTGGTATTGCCATACAGTTTATTGTGTGTGATGGCTTATATGACTTACTAAGTGTTAGCGTATGAAGAGGGAAGTAGGAAAGAGAGTATGCGTGCTATACATGAATACATATAATGCATGGTCTAGAAAACAACATTGAGTTAATCGAAAGTGAAATGGAGGCTAAGCTACCAAAACTGAACGTTGGAACTGGTACGGGGACTATTTATTCAACACTTCGACGTACACCGTATTGGAATTATGACGTACACCGTATTGGAATTATGACGTACACCGTATTGAAATGATGACGTACACCGTATTGAAATGATGACGTACACCGTATTGGAATGATGACGTACACCGTATTGGAATGATGACGTACACCGTATTGGAATGATGACGTACACCGTATTGGAATGATGACGTACACCGTATTGGAATGGTGACATACACCGTATTGTAATGATGAGTTACAGAATCTAGTACACAAGCTTGCTGGGAGTG